GCGGGAGACTAAACACATTTCTTTTCTCTTTCTTCTTCTTTTTTTGGGGTGCCTCGAAGAGTTTGGGACCAAAGAGAGGAGCATGGATCTTGGTACAGGTACCGGCCGGTGGGAACCAGGGAGGCTCTTTCACTTTTCTTTCGGTTCTTTTACGGAAGTTATTATTTTTAGCCCAATGAGGTAGCAGCTGAGCAGGGGTGGGGGCCGGCCTGGAGAGGGTCCGGCTGCACTTCTCGCCCTGCTCGCTGGATTTGCCAGGCTTCTGATTTTATTGCTATTATTTGTTACTTGCTGGGTGACTGTGACTAATTTGATGCTTGTCATTATGAAAGAACTGAGGGAGAGGGAGCTGGGGGGCACCCAGAGAGAGGATTTAGGGGTTTTTTGTGGGGGTTTTTGTTCTCCGTGTTTTTTTGAATGGCTCCGTGTTTTTTCTGTATTTTTCTGTATTTTTTTTTCACCCTGCAAAGATCTCTGTGTGCCGGGCTGTGGGGTGTGTGTTTTTATTTTTTTAGTGGGGGGTGGTTTAGTTTTTGAAAGCAGCGTCCTGTTGGGAAAGGTGGTTAGTCTGGTTTCGGGCGACTGTCTCAAGGTAAAGGAATTTAATTTATTTGGGACAAGGCTGTGTCGGATGATCAAGCTGCTTATTACAGCTAATGAGTATTTTTCACCTGAGAATCCGTGGGATGAGGCGGCTGTTATCAGTTCAAAGTGAGGGGCCCAGGACTCTCTCCCATCCCCCCTTTAGCCCCCACCCGCAGGGGTGGGCCCCACGAACTGCTACATTTGGAAGTCTGGTTTTGGGGGAACCCAGCATGGCACTTCTACCGGGGTTCAGGTATCTGGCCCGGGGCAGAGTTTGTCCTGAGACTTTGGTGGTTGTTTTGGTCTTTAATCTAATTTTGTTCAATATTTGTCTTCTCTGCCCATCTGGGCTTCCGGCCTGAGTCCAGAGTAGGGTTTGCTGTTAGCCTGTCCGGCTCCCCATTTACTGTCTGTTAAAGCCAAATTTTGACGGCCCCCCCAGATCCTGGCCAGAGCAGCTTCCTCCATGTGCTCAGACCTGGGGAGGGCTGGACAGGCTGGTAATTCATAGGGCCTGGTCTCTGAACCCCTGTTTCACAGATTGAAGGGCAGGTGGTTTGGTGGCTGTCAGAATTGTTTATTACAGGACCAAGTTCGTGGCGTGGCCCCTGGGGACCCATGAGCTGGCCCCTGACCTTCCAAGGTCAAAGGGGAGTGGGCAGGGTGGGTGACTGCGTGGCCGGCTTCGGAAGGGGGGGGTGTGTTTGGGGGAGACGGTCTTTCCCCACCTCGGGAGTTGGGGAGTGTGTGTGCAGCCAGGTGTGATCTTGGCTGATCGCAGGCAGAGGTGCCCACGACCTCCGTGCCCAGGAGAGGTGTGACACCCCCTGCTGGGCAAAGTAGTGAAGGTGTCTAAGGCCATGGCTCCCACCCTGCCCCTCCCTGCTGTCCACTCCCACGGAGAAGCAGCCGCCCCCACCTCTAATCAGGTGTCTCATCACCACCCTCTCAGGCCCCACCCCCTTTCTTCGGAAATGGGGCCCCCACCCATCGCCGCCAAGGAGCCAGCCTCACAGATGGGCCGGGCCCTAGCGCCACCCTACCTGGGCAGCGCCTCTGCTGTGGGCGGGCACTTGGGACCCAGGCATTACTCAGCCGGGAGGCCGGCCTCCGTCTTCCTCCTTCCGACAGGCGTCCGTCCAGGCCGTCCCTCCCGGGCTGTGCGGGGGCACTGCGTCCCGGCCCTTCTCTGGGTATCTGGGGTGTCCCCAAGGAGCGAGGGCCTGCTAGGCTGTGGGGCCTTCACCCCTCGTGGCCTCTGTCCGGGGCCTGAGGGAGACACGGCTCTCCCAGCACTCCAGGGACGGGCTCTGGAAACTTTTCCTAGAAGCTCGAAGGGCCCTGAGGTCAGCCGGTGCCTCCCGGAGCCTGAGCAGGGCGCTCCCAGCACGACCCAGCCTGGACTCTGGCCACTCGGCGAGGGGAGGCCGGATAGCAAAGTTCTGTTTCCTGGAGGAGTCATCTGGTGATACCATCTCAGCCTTTTCTTTGAACTTGGAAGTTTCACTTAATCTCAGAACTTCAGAAGAAAAAGCATTTTCCCCTCTTCGAAAAAAAGGGAAGCGGGTGGGGACTCTTGAGAGCCCCAGTGTGCTCCACAACCCCCCTCAACCCCACCCCCCCACCCCCACCTCGCGTGCCCTTCTGGACACGGGGTCAAGCCTCGTGGCCGGCATCGTGGGGGACGCTCTTCTCTTGGGCTTGTTCCCCTGGGGGACTCCAGCATGGTACCGGCTGGAGGGGCCCGCCTCAGGCTTGCGGGCATCCGGTGGGGACAGGGCCAGGGGCTGACGCGGCCTCCTGCCTGGTGAGGTCCAGGTCCTTCCTGAAGCGCAGTGGGCGAGCCCAGGATGGTCTGGAGGGGACAGCGGGACCTCTGGACCCTCAGGGGCCGTGTGGACCCCTTTCCCCGATCATAGTTCAGCCAAGGGCTGGATCAATCTGGACGTCTTTAGCAATAAAAAATGCCGATGTCGTCCTAATTCACCAGGCCCCGAGATGACAGCAAATTTACATTTTTTAATTAAACTAGCAGCCAGTTTTTATGAGAGGGGGTTGGGTTATGCAAATCAAATGGTTGTGTACGGAAGATTAGGAGAGTTTGGGAATAAATTCCACAAATGCTAATAAAAAAAAAGGGAAGAGAAAGAGAGGGAGGGAGGGAGGAGAGAGAAGAAGAGAGAGGACAGACTTCCATTAGGCCCTTTTAGAGTGATTTCCCTGGGGGAGGGCTGGGGGGAGGGAAGGGGGAGAGCTTAGGCGCAGGTGAATCCTGCGCAGTTGGGAAGCTCCCCAGGACGAGGCCCCCGGGGCTGGCTCCTGCGCAGACCTGGAGGCTGGGGTGAACGGGCTGTGAGCTCCTGCTCCGCTTGGGGACCACGCTTGCCCTTGATTCTCCAGAATCTCGTCATCGCCCCGGTCTCCCTGGGGGCCAGGGGCAGTGAGGAGCAAGGGGCAGCTGTCCGGGGCTTGGGCCATCTAGCAGAGGTCCAAAGGAGGCCCTCGGCATGAAAGGTCAAAGGGAGCGAGCCCAGAGGCATGGCCGCGGGCCACGGGCGGCGAGGGCGGTGAGCGGGGGTCCCTGGCGTGGCCGCGGCTGCAGTGTCAAGGCGGGTCAGTAGGAGGCGTCGTGCTGCTCCGGCTGGCCGCCCTCCTCACCTGGGATGAGGTGTGCCGGACTTCAGGCCAGGGCCCTGGACCCCGAGGTCCCAGGAGCCTCGCTGCGGAGGTGCAGGGCAGGATGAGGTGAGGGGAGCGGCGCCAGCTTGGCTCCGGAGCCCGCCCCTTGGGGCGGGTTCCTGCTGCGGTGCGTGGAGGGCGTGGGCTCCGGTCAAGGGGAAGAAACTGTGGACGTATCCCAGGTGTTGCCTGGCCCCAGCGAGCCAAGAGCTCCAAGTTCTTGCTTCCTCTACCCAGCGCCTGCCGCCGGGCGAGCAAACCCACCTCCAGGCCCACAGCGCTTCTGTGAGCAGCTGGGGCAGGCGCCCCCGTGTGAAGTGGGGCTAGGACGCAGCTTGTGCCCGCCAGGAAGAGGTGGACACCGGGCTTGGGGCGGAGCAGGCCACCCTCCTGGTTCCGTCCTCAGGCCTCCCCTGGCTGAGACACCCACTCGGCCGGTCTGCGCCGGGCCAGTCCCTGCAGTCAGGTTGGGCACCGGTTCTGCCAGTCTGCTGCAGGGGGTAGGGGCATTGGTGCCATCTTGGCAGGAAGAAATGGTGAGAGGCCGGGACAGAATGGGCTGTCTCAGAGGAGGTCACGAGTTTCCTGGTACCTCGCAGTGGCTGGCTGTGACCTCTGGAGGGACTTGGCACCTCCTGACCTTTAAGGCCTCAAGTCCTCTACTCCCAATTTGCTTAGACCAGGAGGTGCAGTGGGGTGCTCTGGGAAGGGGTCTGGCGCTTGCACCTCCTTTTGGAAAGAAAGCCTTGGAGACGTGCCACTCTGGGCTGTGAAGTGACCCTTGACCGGGCCCTGACACTGGTTATAAGATGTCAGGCTGCTGGAACCTTCTCCCCAGGACCAGAGGCAGCAGGGGCAGGTCGTGAGGGAGCCCACCCAGCCCTTTCCCTGCAGGGGTCAGCCCTGGCACCCACTAACGCTCCTCTCCGGGCCCCGCCCCCACGCCCCAGTCCCCAGCCCCCACGGCCAGGGAATCTGGCTGCGTTGCAGTTTGGGTTTTTATGATGGAAAAATAGAATAAACGGAGGCACCTTGGAGGCCTAGCCAGCCAGCAGCCACATCGCTCGTTAACTCTGCTCCCTGGCTCAGGTCCCCGGCAGGGGCTTGGGTGGGGCTCCGCTCCTCCAGCTCCTGGACCCTGCCAGGTAGGGGTGCCCCGGGCCCTCTGCCAGCCTCCTCTGGCGCCCACCATTCTGGGAGGGCTCAGGCCTCAGCCCTGCCCATTTTGGGGGTGGGTGTGGGCGGGTGTTGGCTTCATGCCCTGGTCTGGAGCTTGTCCTTATCACTGCCCTCCTGGGCCGGCTTTTAAACCTTGACCCCCAAGCTGCAGACACACCTCCTCCGCCTTCTCCTCCTCATCTTCACAGGGAAGGAAGTTGCTCGGTAGTAATTACAGCCTGCGGGTCCCCAAGGCCAGCAGCAGCTGTTCTGGGGTAGTTGGGCCAGGAGTGAGGACCCGGGGAGGAGGGAGGGTGGGTGGCCCCGGTGTGGCGAGGGTGGTGGAGGGCAGGGACCTGGGAGTTGAGCGGGCACCCCTCTGCCTGCTGGCCCGCACACCCCAGGGTCATCGGGACATCGCCTCCCTGGTGGGGGTGGAGGTCCCACGCAGGTGGTGAGGCCCATGGTTTAGTACAAATTGGGGGGCCCCCTCGAGAGGATGCAGAAGGGGGGACCGCTGGTCCCTCGCAGGCTTCCGGAGCCTGCCTGGCAGGGGCGGCCCTCTGCCACGCCAGGGCAGCGAGGCGCCCTGGCACGAGTGGCCTTTGAACTCCACACCGGATGGGAAGTGCTGGGACAGATGGGGATAGGCAGAGGGCTGTTCCCTGCACCACCACACCCTCTAGGCTCCCCGGCCCCCCTCAACTCCTCGGAGCAAAACCCGCTCCCCCGAGCGCTTGTGCAAGAGTTAGTTCCCTGCCGGCTGCCCAGCCTGCGGCCTTCCTCCACCACACCCGCACCTCACACCCAGTTGGCCCTGGGAGGAGATAAGCGATCAGAGGCCGCCGAGGGCTGTGCTCGCAGGAGCGGGTGTGCGACGGGTGCTGGTGGCGCCCCACTTCTCGGCCCCGGCCCCCAGCAGGCTCCCCGAGCCTCGCTTCCTGCGGCGACCACCCCACTCGGCTCGCGTCTCCTCCGGGGCTCGCGCGGGCTGGCCTGGCCGGCTGGCGGACCTCCCGGCTGAGGGTGCCTCCGGCTTCTGCGTGGGGCAGGAGCTCTCTCCGGCCGGTGTCTGGAAGGCCGTGGCGCTGGACGGGAGAGGGCACGGCCCGGCGGACCGGCGTGGTGTGGTCGGAGGTGCCCTGCTAGCTGCCAGCCGTGGCCGGGCGGGGCGGGGCGGGGGCGGCTCCTACTTGGCCAGGGCAGCTGCTGTCCGTGGCCGCAGGTGGGCAGCAGTGAGTGTGCATCTGGGGCTCCCCTGGCCTTCCCCCCTCGCCTGTGCCCCCCGCCCCCCGCAGCAGACCTCACTGCAGCGGGTCCCCCGCTCTCAACCGGTCCCGGGTGCAGGACCCCTCCCGCCAGGTAGCCCCCGTGCAGGGAGGGGCCTGGGAGAAGGGCACACTGTCCCCAGGGCCAGCCGCACTGCCAGGGCACCAGACCTCCGCCCAGGGGCGGGCTGCGGGCCCCGTGCCCAGCCCGCCTCCTGGGCACTGCCGGCCCTTGAGGCCCCGTGAGCCCACAGGGCCAGGCCTCTGGGTTGCTGAGAGCGGACACATTTTGGGGCTCCAGCGATGGGAGAGGGACGCCGCCCCATGGGCCCCCAGGCTGTCTGCAGGGAAGGGCGATGGTGAGGGGGACAGGCCTCCCCAGGACTCCGCTGCTGGGAGACCCGTTTCCAAGTCCCACGTTGGTTGAGGATGCGCGCCGGATTGAGCTGGGGTTGGCCTGCAGTGGCCCTCTCACAGGCTTGCTCCAGGACCTGGGGGCTCGGGAGGGAATGTGCTGCATGGGAGCAGGCACAGTTAGGTCCCCCCGCCCCCGGACGCAAGAGGCATCTAGGAAGCCAGCAGGGAGAGATTTCTGGACCTTTGAGTCACCGCAGAGTGCATCTTCTCCTGGCCGGCGCTCTCCACCTCCCTCCAAACCAGCGTGCCTCTGTCTCGCCACCCCAAGCTCAAGGTCACGCCAGCAGGGAGGCTCCCCCAGGGACAGAGGCCTTGGGGAGGGCGAGGGGAGGCGCCGCCCAGCAGGGGGCGCCCCCTGGATCCCCGTTCTGAGGACGGGCTCTGGCCCCAGCCTCTGGCCAGTGGGGGAGGGGGAGCCCACCCCCCCACCCCCAGAGGTTCCTGGGCTGAGTTTGTTTTGCCAGGGTGACCTGTTTAATCATCTCATTTTCTGGTGGCCGTTTATTCCTCGTTTCCACGGTTACGGCCCCATTAAGGGGAGAAGCAATAAGGCAGCGAGTCAAACAGGTAATAAAAACATTAAGCACATGTGCAGGGGCGGGTGGGCAGGGGCTCGCTGAGGTGAGACGCCCCGGGGAGCAGAGGCAGCGGCCCGGAGGTCTGGGCGAGGAAGCCGCTGGGCGCCCGCCCTGGGCCGAGGCCCTGACCACGCTGGGGGCACTCCTCGGCCGCACGGGCTGTCTGCGGGGAAGGAGGACAGTGAGGGGTGACGGAGGCCTCCCCAGGACTCCGCTCTGGGTGAGGGTGGGGGATGATTTCTGACATTGTTTTGAGCTCTAGAACTTTTCTCCTGCTGACTTTATCAGAAAGCATATTTGTGGTGAGTGCTACTAACAGGGCCAGTCTGGTGAGTAAATACTCCTGGTGTGGACAGCCTGTGACCTTGAGAGGGAAGAGCAAGGCTGGGCCCGAGGCGGCAGGGAGAGGCGGACGGGAGTGGCCCCGGCGCTGGGGGCTTCCCAGGGCCCGCCGGGGCCGAGAAACCAGGTCTCTGGCAGCAGAGCCTGGCTCTCTCCTGGCCCCGGCAGGGAGGGGGCAGGGCGTGCAGCCTCCGGCCAGCCAGAGCCCAGGGAGGACTGGCCAGCAGGTCCTCCAGGGGCGCCCCTAGGAATCGGAAGCTGGGAGGAAATGCATCCCGCCCAGCCCCTCAGCAACGGTCACGTGCCTCCTCCTCGGCCCCTCCCTGGGAGCCTCCTCAGAGTCCCCGCGGCTGGCCTGTGAGTGGCGGGGGTCAGTGGAGCTGACTGGGGCAGAGGTGTGGCCAGGCTGCCTTGGCCAGGAGCCCGCGGGCAGGTAGGAGTGGCCGCTGTGGACGCAGGCGCACCGCCAGCCGGAGGCCCACCTGCCCTCTCCCCGCTCTGATCCTTGCAAACTCAGCCGTCTCCAGTTACTCACCGCAAAGTTGATTTTTGACTAGAGCGGGCGAGAGCGAGGGTCCTGGGGATCGGAGCCCGCTGCTGGGGCGCCGTCCTGGGAGCGGGCCTAGATGAGTTAATATTCCGATCAAACAATTAAAAATAGCAAACACTCCCGCGGCGCCAGCTGCCGGGGCCTTTCAGGGACTGTCACCAGGAGGTTCTCGGGCAGGTGGTGCTGGAAAGAAGTTTTTCCACAAACAGCAAATATCAGAGATGACAGCGTGGCCCCCACTTCCCTCCCAGGCCCCGGACAGGTGTTGAGGGGCTCCCGGTTCTCCCTGACCCCCTTGGGGCCCGGAGTCGGGGCGCAACGTCAGGGCCCCCCCCCCCTGCAGGCCCGGCTGCCGCGGTGAAGTCATCGCCAGATGCCTTGGTAATTGCTTTAAGAATCTAACTTAAAATAAGATAAAAACTTATATTCCTGGGTGAGGAGTAATTTCCCATCGAAGACTAAATTAGTGAAAGGATTATACCCGGCCTGACAGCACTGGCGTCTGATCCCTCCAAAGGTCTCAGGCCAGAGGGCTCCAGACCCTGGAGGTTCCCCTGAACCTCAGGCCAGCCCCCCTCCCCTGACTGCCTGCTCCTCATGCTTGGTGAGTCGGGGGTCCACGCGCCATGACTCGGGGTCCCTCCCAATAACGGAGACCAGTTTTTGAAACCCCAAGATGGGAGGGGCGCCCGTCTGGCCTTGGGGGGCCTCAGAAAGTCCCTGTGGGGTCAGTGGGTACTTCCCCCAGGAGCAGAGCCCATCTCTCCTCATCCTACATGATGATGGCCCTGGGACCCTGGGTCCAGGAAGCAGGAGGAGGCGCTAATTAGAGTGACCCTCCCAAGGGGTCCTGGGGAACCCAAGCACCCCATGAACTACAGTGCTCTCTGTCCAGGCTGGGGTCTGACCCTCTGCCCCATACAGTCAGCAGAAACTTGAAACAGACGCCCCAGCGGCATGTGGGTTTGTCCAGCACCCTCCTCTGAGAGAGCCGAGCACCCTCCTCTGAGAGAGCCGAGCACCCTCCTCTGAGAGAGCCGGTGCTCGCCTCGGCCGGCAGCCCCTCATCACCGGGGGACCGTCCAGCTGCGCAGTGGGGAAACGGGCCCAGGTTTGTTCCCAGACGGGGCGACAGACGCAGAGGGGGTCCGAGGACCTCGACCCGGTCCCCAAAGGCATCTGGGCCCCACCTGTAACGCGTGGACGAGGCCCCAGGCTGCAAGGTGTTCCGGAGACAAACCTCTAAGGCAGTGCCCTTGCCGCTCCTGGGACAGGGCGCTTGGGCTGCTTGCCGGGAAGGGGTGCAGGGAGGAAACGCCCCTACCTGTCTCTCTAAGTGGAACTGGACGGGCTGGGGCAGGGCCCTCCAGGAAGAGCGGCTGGGTGCGTGGAGCCTCTGGGCCGGCTCGCAGGTGGCTGTTTTGTGTAAGCACAGAGACTTTGCTGGAAGGGCGGATCCGCACGATTCCGGGGTGCACACAGCTCGGCGGGGGTGTCGCTCACCCCAGGGCTTTGCTGCTTCTTGAGGTCACAGGGAACCGTGCGGGGTAGCACGGTCCCGGTGTGGGGTTTAGCCAGGGGCTGATTTGCGAGGGGTCCCGACTGAGGACTGGGGTGCTGGTTCTCAGGGTGGCCGGCAGCGGGCTACCAGAGTCGAGCAGCCAGGTATTCCTGGGGAGACTTGGTGCCTGATGCCCCCCCCCCCAGTCCAGAGGACGGAATTATGGGGCAGTAGAGCTGAGCGCTCCAGTCTAAACACCCGGGAGGACGCCCGGAGGCCAGCCCAGCCAGCCGCAGAGGGCTGAGCGGCTCGAGGCGGGAGGGGTCGGCCGCCGGGAGCTGGCACGCGGCCGCTTCGCGAGCAGACACATCAGTGCCGTCCAGGCTGCGGGGCCCTGCGAGGGGCCCCCCCCCGTTTGTCTTCCCCTCACCCCAGGGTGGGGAGTTGGGCCGGACTGGACAGGATGGACGGTCTGCTGGAGACGAGGAGCAGGGGAGGCAGAGTCGAGGCGCACGGCCAGGGGCAAGGTCAGGGCCCCGGGCTGGGACCCCATGGGTCCCTTTCCCTGGCCTGCCTGATAGGAAGGGTCACTTTGGGGTCCCCCAGAGGCCTTCAGGTGGAAGCTGCCCTTGCGAGACTCCTGGCAGGGCCCAGAGCCCAGAGAGGGGACGGGATGTTTTCTGTTTCCGGGTCCCTTGGGGGCCCAGGGGCAGATTGAGACAGGCTCCTTGCAGGGAAGGTGTTAACAAACAGCAGGTGATTAAACATGACAAGCGGTGACATTTCTGTGCAGGGTGCTCAGTCCCGGCAATGCCAAGAATGAAGCTATAAACCCTGACATTTTGTGTTATGCACTGAGAGGTTTTTAATAGACCTCTCTCTCCCTCTTCCCTAGTCGACCCCCCCCCCACTGCCCCACGGAAACCTCTCACCTCCCGGCGGGTCTCTGGCCTCCCCCTCCCCTCAGGGCCTCCTCCCTGCAACCACAGGCCCAGGGCACCCCTGGTCCTCGGAGTCCCCCTTTCCTTTGATCTCTCCTCCCGCCCCTGCTCCCCGGGCCAGCACCCCCACTCCCTCGTGCCTTTGTGGGTGCTGACCTCACAGCCTGGCCGGGCTGTGCCTTCCCAGTTGTCTGCAACGGCAGGTGTCTGTCCCCGTCCCTCTTTGTGCTAAGAACGTTTCAGACAGACGCGGTAGCGGGCGAGGTCGGTCGTGGGGCTTGGGGTGGGACTCTTCTCCCCCCCCAATCATTTTTTTCAATTTCCTTTTCTCCTTTTTGGGACAGAGACAGGAGGTGGAGGGCGAGATGGCACAGTGCTGCAAACAGTTGCTGGGTTTATTCAGACAAGGCCCGGCCCACAACACTTGTCCCAGAGAAATGTGGGGACAACTGGGGCCTCTTTTGTTCTCTGGGGAGAGCCCAGTGAAGGGCGTTTGGAGGTGAGCCTGAGGCTCAAGAGGTCAGACACCCGGGAGCGAGCGAGGGCTCCGGCCTCAGTGCCTCCCAGGGCCCCCCACCCTTGCAGAGGGACAGGTCCCTAAAGCACCCCTGAATTACCAGAGCCAGGCCACACCCTTGCCCAGAGGCACCCAGAAGCACTTAGTTTTCCACCTTTGTTCAGTAAATATCAGGTCAAGTTTGTGGTCCTGGATTTTGCCGTCTGTCGAGATAGGGGGTGATTAAAGGGGAGGTGATGGGGCGCTGT